TAGTCCAGCTGTGTGAAGAAGAAAGATGCCCTGTTCCCTCCTGGCAAGGACTCAGGCACTGAGGGGTGGTCACAGCTCAGCCAGTGAGAAGCCCTGGGTGCCTTGTTCACTACAGCCCCTCCTCCAACATGCATTCCCATCTGCAAAATAGTTCTTATCCCCCATATGCTAGGACCTGCGGGTGGCTCACTGTCATTCCAGGCCCGGAACGCAAATCGTTGTTGATCCCAGATGAAAACACTTCTTTTCGCTGGAGAAATAACTGGCCATCTCTTTGTTTCAGGTCAACATTTTCACGGCCCTGATGGAATCAGATAAGACCCCGTATGACTGTGAGGCTGCTGAGCAAACAGGTGTGGGACCCACACTGGGCCCATGGCTGCACCCTGTGATTCTCCCCGACCCTGGAGTTTGAGTCTAAATCATTCTCCTGGATCCCAGCTTCCACATCTGTGCAGTAGGAAGCTCTGCAGGCTTTGTCTGAGAACTATTGTAAGGTGTGTCCTTCATAGGTAAGACCTTGTACTGTATGCAAGTACTTATTTGGCATTCAGTCTGAGTTTGAAATCAGGTTGTTCCAGCTGGAAGTGGCCGGCCTTCCTCCCACTCCTTGGGAATAGGGGCTGATCTACTGAGCCTGTGCTGAGCAGCCTTCAGCCTGGCTCCTTCACAACCAGACTGATCCCTTAGACCTGACTGGTGTTAGCCCTGCTGGCTATTTGCGCTGTTTGACCCTTTAGGCTGCTTGGAAATTATTCCTTTATTCTCCAGAAATCACCTTGAGAAATGGGGTCCAAGTTATCTAAGTGCTTTGAGGTCACTTCTGCAGTAGGAACCACAGCTGAGTTTTTGTTTTAAACCCAGGGTCCTCCCTTAAGGAAATTTGTAGTGAAATGGACAGACCTGGCGAAAGGCGATTCATGCTTCCATTAAATGTACATGTCAATGGTCATTATGGGGGACTTTAGAAAACCTCAAACTTACTTTCCTTAAAACCAAGTTGGT